TGTGTATATATACAGTGGTGACACCAGTGTCACAATCAAGATGATCTCCCCAGCACTCCGTGGGTCCTCTGACTGCCGCAGTGATGGGCAACATGACTGGCAGGGCCCGGGGTGACACATGCTGTGTGCCAGGAAGAGTTCTATTACCCCTAAGAAAGAGGGGGCCCATGCTTTTGCTAAACCTGCAAAGACAGAGTCTAGATGAAGACATCGAGGCAAGATGAATGTAGTCTCTTCTGTTTTCATCTAACTACATCCAGAGCCACGCTATGTAGATTACAATGATTCTAAGGGCAGGTGTTTGGCACAGCAGTTAAGATACCACTTGGGATGACAGCATCCCAGACTGCAGTGCCTGAGCCTGAGTCCCAGCTCTGCTTCTGAGTCCACCTCCTGCTTTTCCTGGATTGAGGCCTCTGGGTGGAGAACCAGCAGATGGGTGATCTCTGCCTCTCTGTGCTTTTCAAATAAGAAGAAAGAAAGAATATAGTAGTTGTTGAAAGAAATTATTGGTGTGAACCAAATGTTTAATGTTATACTGACACTTAAAACCCATCTAAATAAATATCTAAAATGAGACATCCTCAGTCTGACAGTGGATGCCTCTCAATAAGTCAAAGCTGGTTCGCTACAGCTGTTCTGGTATCATGACTGCTACTACTACTACAGATTATAAGGTGAAGGCCAAAGACACAAAGTCCAGGTATTCATAATCTTGATTTCCTACTCCTCAATGAAAACTGTGTCATTTTCTCTTCATCATAGAACATAGCAAGCTTATAATAAATCATCCAGGAACAAAAGGGGTGCATGGTTGGCCCTGTGTACTCATCAGTTCTACAACCATGGATTCAACCAATTTTGGACAGAAAATATCTGGAAAAACATTATGCCTGTACTGAACAGGTACAACTGTTCTTCTTGACACTGCCTAAACAATACAACGCTTACTTGCAAACCGTTTTCATTGCATTAGGTATTATCAACAATCTGGAGGTGATTTTAAGTATACAGGAGGACACACATAGATTATATGAGAATTCTATGTCATTTTATGTAGGAGACTAGAGCATCCATGAATTTTGGAATCCTTAGCATGCACACAGAGGTCAAGATGACTGTACTCAGAAGATGTCTCTAAGACCTAACTGATGAGGGCCTTTCTTAAGTGCCTCTTTGTCGCTCCCCCTCTTCGTGGAGGAACGACACTAAACCCTGCCTAGGCTTCCTATCCGAGTCACGGCACCATTATGTCGCTCCCCCTCTTCGTGGAGGAACGACACTAAGCCCTGCCTAGGCTTCATATCCGAGTCACGGCACCATTATGTCGCTCCCCCTCTTCGTGGAGGAACGACACAGGACCCTGCGCTGTTCTTTCGTCTGCTCGGCCCTCCCCGGGTTTGCTGCTGGTTCTTCCCGGGTTGGCTACTATCCCTTCCACCTCCGTGGAAGGGCAGTTCCCCCTGGCCACATTCCCCACTTCCGCAGGGGAGCGGCACACCGCCGGCCGGCTCTCTTGGGGGCTGCACAGGTGTTCCCTCAGATGTTCCCTCAGATGTTCCCCTTAGATGTTCCTGGTGCATGCCGTCTCTCTCCTCCTTTATAGTCCTCCTCCGCCAATCCCAACTCGGCTGCCCACACGCCGAGTACGCTGCTCTCCTCCAATCAGGAGCAAGTCCTACAGTTTATTAGTTGAACTGGAGGCAGCTGTGCGGAAGCTGTTTACTTCTCTCCCAGCGCCATATTGTGGGAGAGCAGATGCATAGAATAAGTCTTAATTCCAGTAACTCAGTCCAGTCCGGATTGCTCCCCACACCTCTTGTAAACCATCTTAGAGTATCATCTATAATTTAGTTACTAACAGATGTATTATTGATATTGAAGATATTAATTTACTTCTTATAAAGATGTATATATTGATCTGGAAGGCAGAGTAAAAAGAAGGAGGGAGAGATGGAGAGAGATAGGGAGAGGGATAGTGAGAGGGAGAGGGAGAGATGCTCCATCCACTGGTTCACTACCCAGATGGTCATGACAGCAGAGGCTGGGCCAGGCTGAGCCAGAAGCTAGGAACTCCATCCAGGTCTCCCGTGTAGGTGCAGAGGCCCAAGCACTTGTGCCATCTTCTACTGCTTTCTCAGACACACTAGCAGGGAGCTAGATTGGAAGTGGAACAGCCTGGACTTGAATTGGCACCCATATGGTATGCTGACATTATAGGAGGTACCCTAACACATCACACTATATCACTGGCCCCAAGATATTAATTTATAATAATTTGACACTCTACTAATTTTGAGCTACATAATGATGCCAAAACAAAATTTGGTGAGTACTATAATGATCGTAACTCTAAAATGGGAAGGAAGTTGCTAGACCAGCAGTTCTCCAATTATGTATTCAGGATTCCCTGGGAAGGTTGGTAAAAAAGACTACTGGGCTGTACTCCAGATTTCTGACTCAGTTGCACTGGGGTAGAACCCAAGAATTTGCTTGTCTAGTAAGTCCCAGAGGATACTGATACTGCAGCTCTGCGGACCTGGTGCTGGGGCCATACCTTCCCCACCTGCCCAATGAGTCCCTGGCCCCTGATACTGGATACTGGGTACTGAGTGGATACTGTGAGTAGAAGAGGAGATAAGCAGCAACGATGGAGCACCTCCTGACACATCCATCTTCACCTGTAACTGCTCTCAGCATCCTGGACTCACTGTCAGCTGAATGGTCAGTTCTGTAGCTTTAAGTTCATTTACCCTGGTGTGCAACCATCATCAACTTCCCACAAAAGTTCTCTGTTTCTTTTGTTATTTGTAGTAAGAGAAAAAAAAAGATGAAATGTCTTAGGTAGAGGTTCTAGAAGATCATGAGAACCAGAACATTTTCAGGAAACATGACCTTAGGGGCTGGCACTGTGGCACAGAGGGTTAAGCTTCTGCTTGCGACACTAGCATCCCATATCAGAATGCTTGTTTGAGTCCTGGCTGTTCTGTTTCCAATCCAGCTCCTTGCTGACATCAGCCTAAGAAAAAAGTAGCTGATGGCCCAAGTATCTGGGCCCCTGCTACCCAGGTGTGAGACCTAGAAGGAATTCTAGGCTCCAGGCCTTAGCAAAGACAAGCCTTGGCTGTTGTGGCCATTTGGAGAGCAAACCAGCAGATGGAAGATCTCCTTTCTCTCTGTGTCTCCTTCTCTCTCTATCATTAAGCCTTTGAAATAAATAAGTCTTTTTTAAAATTAATTTATTTATTATGAAAGAATTAGAAAGAGTTGGGGAGAGATAGAGAAAGAGAGATCTTCCATCTGTTGGTTTACTTCCCAGATGGCTACAATGACCAGGGGGCCAAGACCAAAGCCAGGAGCTTCATCTAAGTCTCTCACATGGACAGCAAGGGCCCAAACACTTGGGCCATCTTCTGCAGCTCTTCCCAGGCCATTAGCAGGGAGCTGGACCTGAAGTGGAGCAGCCGGGACACAAACTGGTGCCCACATGTGATGCCTGTGTCACAGGCAGCGGTTTTACCTGCTATGCCACAAGGTTGGCCCTGTAAATACAACTTTTTTTTTTTTTAAGGAATTATGACCCTAAAATATCATAGCAGAAGATGAAGGACTGGATTTCAAGACAAATAAATGCCATGACTTTTTTGGAATGACAAATAGACTTGTTACAAACAAACTCAGGGAAAGCTGCCAAATACAGACAGAAGAATGGGGTCCCGAGGAGGGATTTTATCTTAGATCTTAGGGCTGTCTGTTTGCCGACTGGAATCTCTGTCTGTGGACTGCTAGAGAAGCACATGTTACAACTGCCAGGAGACCAGCTCTGTTCTCCAGAGTGTGTAAAGCAAAGCTAGACTGGGATCATAGCCAACTTTTTAGAACTTATGTTCCTCTGTCTATGTGGAAGTTACTGCACATTCACCTGCAGACTACATTTTTAGGCAGCTGACACCTGGACACACATATACATATACAAATTTCACTCTCTGAAAAATATATTTCAGATAAGGCAGTGAGAACCTGGGTAAAACAGTGCCCCCAGCCAGTCCCACTCCAGTCCAGTCATAAGTAACAAAATGGCTTATTTTGAAAAGAAACACTGATTTTTAAGTATTACTGTGTTTGAAAAGTAAATCTCCATTGCCTCAAAGATGAAATAAATGCCCTCGAGTCACTGAATTGCATATTTCATTTTATTTTCTAGTCCCTTTTTTTTTTTAACTATCCTACCAGTTATGGTCACATCTCCAATTAGGTAATGATTACTTCTCTCCCCACATGAAAGTGGTGACAGAAGTTGACAGTTCTTCTATATTTTACTTTGATAAAATATATACAACATAAAAAGTTAACCATTTTCATCACTTTTAAGTGGATAATTCTGTGACATTAATTACATTCACTGTTATGCAATCATCACCACCCTCCATGTCCGAGGTATTTGTTTTAAACAACTAATTTTTTTTTTCCCTTTGCAAAATGGTAAAAGCTAGAAATAACATGTATGGGTAACTAGTGCTGGGTGAACATGGTGTCAAAACAACAGATTCTCAGCTGCTTTCTGGAGGAAAGTTAAACTGTGAGACCAGACTCAGACACGAGGGCCAACCCCCCCCCCCCCCCCCCCGGCCCATCCTTTTACACTGAGGAGAACAGAACCCGGCAGGGGCTGCTGCTGCATGGAAGCCCCTCTCTTTCTGTGACCATGGCAGGCATTACTATACGACTGCTGCACTCTTCCCTATTGGATCTCATAATTTTCTCCAAGTAGTCTTCTAGGTGTTCATCACAACCAATTCCAAAGATGAAACCCACTGACCCACTCCACAGAAAACTCGCAAGCCATCCTAACACTACAGGAAGAAACCATCATTTGGACTGCTCTTGTTCTGGCAAAGGTCAACAGAGACATCACATTCAATAGGAAAGGCCTGCACCACGGAGATGTGGCAAGGTAGCTTCCTTAGCATTGAAAGCGTCACATGTAACAGTGTTCTTACCTGGGTAGGAACACACTTTCCACCACGTAAAAGTCTTGCATGAGAACATCTCGCTCCGGCTTGGAAGTGAGATTCCCCACTGTGTATCCTATTCCCAGCTGAATAGCACCTTTGATAGCAGATGATGCAGTCTGCAAAGAAAACAAAAATCTTAACATCAGCCTCAACAGTCAAGGTCTTGTTCAATGCCACAAGCAGCAAAAAAATGGGAGAATGGAGTGAGATTTTTCACCTAGTGGTTAAGATGACAACTCCCACATCAGAGTGCTAGGTTCAGTTCCTACCCCTCAAGCTTCCTGCTAATACAGACCCTGGGAGGCAGTGGCAATAGCTTACATAACTGCACCTTATTTATTTATTTTTTTTGACAGGTAGAGTTAGACAGTGAGAGAGAGACAGAGAGAAAGGTCTTCCTTCTGTTAGTTCACCCCTCAAATGGCCGCTACGGCCAGCACACTGCGCCAATCTGAAGCCAGGAGCCAGGTGCTTCTTCCTGGTCTCCCATGCGGGTGCAGGAGCCCAAGCACTTGGGCCATCCTCCACTGCCCTCCTGGGCTATAGCAGAGAGCTGGAATGGAAGAGGAGCAGCCGGGACTAGAACCCGGCGCCCATATGGGATGCTGGCACCGCAGATGGAGGATTAACCAAGTGAGCCACGGCGCTGGCCCCCATAACTGTATCTTTGGCTTCCACATGTGAAAAACAGATGAAGTTCCTGGCTCCTGGCTTTGCCTTGTGGGCATTTGGGGAGTGAACCAGCAGACAGGAACTCAAGTGTTCTTACCTATTCTCTCTCACTCTCTCTTTAGTTTTGAAAAAGCAAAACAAACACTCAAGAGATTGGGGTTAGATTTTCTTTCTTGTTTATAAACAATGAGAAAGTTGAGGTTTGGGAAAATGAGTCACTGCTTCTTTTGATAGAGAATCTATTCTATATATTAAGGATCCTTCTTGTCATGAAATTATTTTTTGTGATAATTTTTCCTACAAATGTTTCCAAAATAAAATTCACTCTAAAATATCCAAATATTCATGTTCTATTAAGAATTTATAAACTCGGTAGAATGCTTTCAACATAAAGAATTGTAATTTCTACCCCCAAGTAACTGGTACGAACACATTTGAAAACGACTCAGAGGCCATTGTGGTCATTTGGGGAGTGAACCAGCGGATGGAAGACCTCTCTCTCTGGCTCTACCTCCCTCTGTAACTCTGTCTTTCAAATAAATAAAATAAGTCTTAAAAAAAACCAGTTTGTATAACATATCTATGGACTAGTAAGGAATATTTTACCGTCATATGAAATGAGAGAACAAAAAATAATTTGAGTTTTTGAAGAACACAAAGAATTTAAGTTGGAAATTTCTTTCTAGTCTGAACATGGATCAGTCTTCTAAATTTCCTACGTTGGTCTGTGATAAAACACACGGCACTGGGACACCACTATTCCATGCCATAGTGAAGCTAACTTCATGTTAGAGAGTAGCTGCCATATGAGGGGTCTTCAAAGAGTTTATGGAAAATGAATACATGTGGGCTTCATGATTTTTTTTTTTCGGCCTCTGTTAAAAAAGTATTTACTTTTAGTTTTTTGAACGGCAGAGTGAGGGAGATGGAGAGGGAGACCTTCCACCCCCTGAAATGCCAAATGCCAGCAACTACTGGGAGGCTAGGGCATGCTGAAACCAGGAGCCAGGAGCCAGGATCTCCACACGGATCCTGCATGTGAGTGGGAGGGATCCAAGTGCCTGAGCCATCACGTGCTGCCTCCCAGAGTGCACATTAGCAGGAAGCTGGACTGGAAGCTGCGGGGCCAGGCTTGAACTCTGACACCGGATGTGGGCATCCCAAGCAGTGGCTCAACTCACTACACTACAGTGACTGCCCCTACACTTTCCTTATAATTCCATTTCCACATCCTTTTTGAAATCAACTTGAATATATATATATATATATATATATATATATGTTTGTATGTATATGTATGTGTATATATAACCATTGTAATAGGAGAAATAGCAGAGTAATACAATTTAGGAAAATCAGAAAGCAATCTCCCTCCCCTAAAGATTTACTTATTTATTTGAAAGGGAGGAAAGGAGGGAGGGAGAGGGGGAGAGGAGGAGAGATGGAGAGGGGTAGAGAGGGAGAGAGAAGGAGAGAGGGAGAGAGGGAGAGAGCGAGAGAGAGAGAGAGAGAGATCTTCCATCTTCCATCTGGTGTTTCACTCACCACACTGGGCCAGGCTAAGGCAAGGAACCCAGAACTCCATCTGGGTCCCACATGGGTGGCAGGGGCCCAGCACTTATGCCATAATCCACTGCTTTCCCAGGCACATAAGTGAGAAACTGGATCAGAAACACAGCAGCTGGAACTAGGACTGGTGTTCATACGGGACGCCAGTGTTGCAAGTGGTAGCTTAACCTGCTGTGACACAGTCCTAGACCCAGAGAGTATTCTTCTTAATGGTGTAAGTGTACTATACGTTTTACAGTTCTCCATGCTTAATGTTATACTACATATGCCATGGGCATTAAATACATACTTCAGTCAGTGGTTCTTAACCAGGGACATTGGGTACTTTCTGAAGACATTTTGTGACCATCAACACTGGTGGTGACAGGGTTAATATCTGGTATCTATTGGGTGGAGACCAGGGATGCTGCTAAACACCCAGCACTGCTCAGCACGGACCCCCACCACAATCATCTGGCCCCAAAAGTCAACTGTGGCAAGGTTGAGAAACCCTGACTTCAGTGTCTGTAACCAAGATCACCCATTTTAGTGAAAAAATGCTTTGGTTTTTGAGTTAATACGTTCACTTAGAAGTCTTAGACCCATTGCTACTGCTCACATCCTTATTCCTTTTTATTTCTTTTTGCTATACAAGGAACATCTTTCTCTTCTAGAAAAAGATGTCTGTTTCTGATTCCTGTAATAGAACGTGTACCAGGATCCATTTCCAGCTTTTCTGATGGTCTCTATCATTTCTTCATTCTCATATTCTACTTGCTACAACTGCAGGTCCCTAACAGTTTGATCTTTGATTCTCAGATACCTTTAATTACCAATCAATCCATTCTTAGTGACTCAAATACTGTCTCTATGCACATGACTCCTAGATCTTCTCAATCTGTTCAGATGTTGTTCTGTCATCACTAATTCAGTATATACAGAACCAAACTATTATCCTACAACCTCTCTATCCCTAAGATTGGCTTCCTCTCCCCAGGCACTGACATCTTCACCAAAACTTGATTTTTCAACCATACTGCACAGAGCACAGGAAGAGAGATCTTGCATTTGCTGGCTCACTCTCTAAATGGCCACAATGGCTGGCCCGGTCTGGTCCAGGCTGAAGCTAGGAGCCTCAAGCTCCATCTGGGTCTGTGTGGGTGGTAGGAGCCCAAGCACTCGGAGCATCCTATGTTGTTTTCCCAGGCACATTAACATGGAGCAAGATAGGAAGCAGAGCAGCTGGGACTTGAACTGGTGCTCCAATAGGAGATGCTGTCACTGCAGGTGGCAGTTAAGCCCAATGTGCCACAATGCCGCCATCCCCTAACCCCAGTAAGTACTTGCTGAATTCACAGGAAAGTCATGCTCAATTAGTACTGATTAGCAACCTGCAAACATAATGAATCACAACCATTTTCCCCGTAGAGCCATCATTTAATCACACTGCTTATTCCACCTCTAATATTACATCCCTCTTAGGCTGAGGGCAAGTACCTATATCCTTGACCCTGCAGGACACAGAAAAATGTCTTGGTGTTTTTCCTTTTTCACATGTCTTTTTACTTAAGATCCCAGGGCAGCAAGATGGCAAAGGATTGAGACTTGAGACCATAGTGCATTTAGTGCCTAAACAAAGTTTGCTATTTTAATACTTCTACTCTGAGGTCTGCAATGCCACCAACTGGCTCCACTGACCTTTTGTACTAGTCACTATGACTTCTGAAGGCTGAAATGCATTTTCCTCATTTGAACCCCTCATCAGAATTCAAAAGGCATCTCTTCTCCCATCCATCAGTCCAAGTGGAATGCTTCAAAATATGACATGAGCACTTTCCAGACAACTAAAAACATACTCCAAAATGTCCTGTGCCAGACCAACCAACTCAAGTGCTCTCAGAGCGTTTGCTCTTTTTGTACCCTGTCCCTGTATTTCTGCTAAATCCATGGAAACATCATTAACAGTCGCTGAGCCCTTCTTGGGCTGGAACCATCTGTCCAACAGACTAGTCATTCTTTGTTGTCCTCACCCTTGTAATGGAAGGCAGTTGATGTTTCAAGTAGTTGATAGCTGGTATGCTCAAACTCTGGAGAGCCTAGGAATTATTGGGGATGCCAAATCAGATGGTGATTTGGTTCACCAGAATTACTGATTCATGGGGTCTAGGGCAAGGCCCAAGAATTTGTTCTTGCTCTGAGGAGCACTGAAAACAAAAACAAAAACAACCCTCTGTCTCCTATGGTATAATATTAAGTTATCTTTTTAAAAATATTTTATTTATTTAAAAGGCAGAGTTACAGAGAGGGAGAGAGACAGAGACAGAGACACAGAGAGAGGTCTTCCTTCTGCTGTTTTACTTCCCAAATGGTTGCAACAGCCAGGGCTGGGTCAGGCTGAAGCCAGAAGCTTCATCCAAGTCTCTCATGTGGGTGGCAGGAGTCCAAGCACTTGGACCATCTTCCACTGCTTTCTCAGGAACATTAGGAGGGAGCTGGATTGGAAGTGGAGCAGCTGGGACTTAAACTCATGCCCATATTGGACGTTGGCATCACAGGTGGTGGATTTACCCACCCTGCCACAATGCTGGCCTCAAGATTATTTTGAGTCCATGAAGAGATAAGATTTGGGGAAAGACTCCATTGTTTATCCAAAAAACAGACTTGTAAGAATTTTTTTTCTCAGCCTCCTTAAAACTCAAGTGCTTGGATGGATGGGAACAATCATAGAAGCAGTAATAAAGTCAATTTTTTTACAAAATAATTTATACCAGGGTACTTGATAGATGGATAACATAGATTATAATCATAGATTATATAATCATACTCTATCATCACTGTAGCATACACTTATAGTGAATTTACTACATGGCAGGCACCCTTAGAAGTGCCTTCTGGT